GCATGAGTTGCCTCGCAGCGAGGTGGGTGGCAAACAAATTTAATAAAAATAAAGAAAGAATGGCGTAATCGGTATGCATTGACAAATGCTCCCATATATTTTTAGAGCCTTCTTTCAAAGCACCATTTTTCTCAAACAGGCTTTCTTCTCATTATTCCACGTACAGAGAAAACGTTTGTGCTAACTTTTCCCCAGTTGGGTTTCCAACGGACACGACTCTCGTGGCAAACAAGAAAGACAGCCGCACACCAGGCCACTAAGAATTTGATTAGATCCCTTCGCTAGGTTGCACACAGCGGTTAGAATGCGGTATTGCAGGCTAATTCGCCCGCTGCCAGGAGTTCGATCCTCACCGGCTCAAGGTCGACTCAGCCTTCCATCCTTCTGAGGTCGGTAAAATGAGGACTCAGATTGTTGGGGGCAACAGACTGTAAATAGGTCAGAGAGGGCTGTAAAAGGCCCAGTGAAGCGGTATATAAGTCTAAGCCAGGGATAGGCAACTTTGGCTCTTTTATGACTCGTGGACTTCAACTCCCACAATTCCTGAGGAGCATGGGGGAACGTTGGCCCCTTCATGACTTGCGGACTTCAACTCCCACAATTCCTGAGCCAGCATGGGGGAACTATGGCCTCTTCATGACTTGTGGACTTCAACTCCCAGAATTCCTGAGCCAGCCATGCTGAGGGGAAAGGGAGAAGTTTCCAAGCTGAGCCATGCTGGCTCAGGAATTCTGGGAGTTGAGGTCCACCAGTCATAAAAGAGCCAAGGTTGCCTAAACCTGGTCTAAGCGCTAATGCTATTGCCCTGGTTAAAGCTCATCTTATTACTGGATCTTTCACTAGCTTCAGTGCCACATGGTATGCCAAAGTTTGTTTGTAATATTAAGAGATTTCTTTTCCTTTCCCTTTTGCAACAAGAGACTGATTGCCATTTGAACGCAGAGTTAACAGGAGCAGCTACTGCAGGAGGCAGGATGCACAGCTAGGACAACTGCACAACATAACGGCAAATGCACCCATCACGGCAGGAAGAGGTCTTGGCACAAACTGACTCTGCCGGTACAAATTGCAAAGTAGTCTTCTTGTACAGAGAGCAAATTCCTGGATAAAAATGACAAATCACACATGAATGAATCTGCATCAAGTGAGGGAAGCCCGTCCTCTAGTAGCTGTGCGTGGGTAATCAGCAAGACAGTGTTGTTTGAGTAGCCACAGGTGACGTGTTTTGGTGGTCCTCCACCTGCCACTCATATGGGAGCCACAAGCTATTGCCAGGGGCCTGCATGGGTGTGGAACGATTCAATTCAGGAGAACAGGTGGGCCTCTCTGCCCTTCCATGAGGCTCAGGAACTGTCCCATCAAGTCACTTACACGAGTCCCAACATGAAGACCTCTTGGAATAACATGCAGGCAGAAGCTGCCCTCCAGCAAGCCCTGTTATTTCAAACCTCAGATTAAAAAAAGAAAAAAGCCCCATTTCTTTATGGCAAGCATTCCTACTCTTGCTGTCAATGCTGCTAATATTGAATATTCTTGCTTTGACGAAATATGCAGAACTGTCTGGTACTTTTAGAGTTAATTCAGATGATGCTGGGAGGGGGAAGAAAGAATCTGAGAGAGTAATTACCCAGGCTTCAGAAGGAAGTGAACCTTTGCCCCCCCCCCCCCCAGGCTGGTTGGACAACATGAATTATGACAGCAAAAGAGGGAGGGAAAAATGCTAGCAAAATAACTGCTCTGGGGTGGAGATTTCAGATCTTGGCATCCTCCAGGCCGAGCGGACACTCTGTCACACAAAGAATAAAGACTTTTTAGGATAAACAATGCCTGGAAGTTCTTTGAAGTGTTTCATTAGTCGGAACCTTGACACTTGCCTAAAAACATGAGAAAAGGCATTAAGTTTTCATAATGAAAGTGTGTCTGAAATGATTTGAGGTTTTTTTGCCCTGGACAGGCGGTTGAACAAGAATTCAACTCTTATGACTGGAAGCTCTCCTCATTTTAACATCCTGATCCTGGCTGGGGGAAAAACTGGTAAAGGAAAGCTGAAAAAAATCAGAGGGCCAAGCAGAAACACACTCCTCACTGCTTTTTCTTCCTTTTCTATTTTGCTTTCCAGTAAAAGTTCTGCCTCCTCCATGATGAGAAGGAAAATCGCCTATGCTCCCCGTGATCTCTTTTCTCCACTTTCACAGAGCAGAATTCCCATGGACTTGCACGAGGCACCTCCCTCTGGATCCTAGTCTGGAAAACTGTCCGTAGGCAGCCAGCCTTCTCCCTCCTTCCCCAGGTTTAGGGTGTCGTTTGGCCTCCTAGCTGAGGTTTTGCTTCTCTTCTGCCAGGAAGTCTCGCATTAATGTCTTTACTTTTCTCCACCTTCGGGCCAGGAAATTGTGATTGCACAAATTAACTTTCTGGAACACTTACTAGAATGTTTCTCTCCATCAGTACATTCTGCAACACTTGCTAAAATGTGGCAACGTATCTCTGTTTTTCTCTCATTCTCTTCAGTAATCAGGCCAGTTCCTAAGATAGCAGGCTCCCTGCTTTAGTCCTCAACACTTACATAATAGTCTTGACCAGTGGTGGGATTCAAATATGTCAGGGGTATCAAACTTGCAGCGTCACATGTTGCAACGTATTGTGATTTTTTCCCCATTACCGGCAATGGGGTGGGCGCAGTTTCAGCATGACGTGTCCGGCCGTGGCCCGGCAGTTTGACACCCTGAAATAGGTGAACAGCCGGTTCTCTGTGTGGATGCCGCTTCTCAAAGTCCATTCTGGGCTTGGACAACCGAACTGGTGCGAACTGGCTGAATCCCACCACTGGTCTTGACCAATTGGAACGCTGCCTCTACCTGACCCACAACAAGCCAGGCCAGCTAATCAGCCCTCAAAACAGCACAGCTGCACTCCCCCCAAGGCCACATCTCAGTTCCTTCTTCATGCTTCTCTCTCCTGATGATTTATGCCACCAGCACAACAGCCAAGTCAGGACTCTAAAACCCATGTGCCACTGTTTTAGAGGAACAAAGCAATACCAGGGAGGAAAAAGGAAGGAACAGATGATTATATAGAATGAATTCACCTGCTGAGGTCCACCCGACTGAAAGTCAGAATGCTGAGGAGCAAAAGGTGATGGTTACTCCAGGTAAGCGATCTTAAACAATCAAGGAAAAGCAAAGCAACTCAGATCTCCTTGGCCCTTCTCTCTCTCTGCATCCAGAAGAGGCCAATTTGAGTAGCACAGGCTAGGAAGGAACTCAACAGGGGAGGGTCAGGCCAGTAAAGATGCGGAAAGGAACTTCTGGCTAAGCCAGATATGGCCAGTCCCTGATGAAATATGCCTTGCCAGGCTGAAGGGCAAAGAGCTTTTTGGGCCTCTGTCAGGTATCTCTAAAGAATCCTGCAGAACCAGGAAGATGCCAGAAGACTGAAGACCAGCAAGTGGGATTCCACTCTTCCTACAGGAAAGAGGATCCTCTAATTATGGATCAGTGATTCAAAAACTTGAAAACATTTCAGGGGAGATAATAAAGGCCATTTGCAAGTACTTTGAACACAAACGTGATTGCCTAAAGCCAAATATGGCTTTGTCAAAAATAGATGCTTTAATAGGATACCTATTATGAAAGGAGTTGTATAGATACAATCTACATTGATTTCTGACATTCTCATTGATAGGCTGCTAAAATGTGGCTTGGATGGTACGACAGTAGCACGGGCCCACAACTGGCTGGCAAACCACACTGAAAGAATCATCACTCATGGTTACATATAGATAATAGTGACCAATGGGATCCCACAAGGATCTGTCTTGAGACCGGTATCATTCAATGCTTCTATCCATGAACTGGATAAAGGGATTGATGGGTTGCTTATTAAATTTGTTAATACAGAATTATTGGCAGCCTGGGGTGTCCAGGAATAGGCAGCACATAAGAACATACATGCATATAAAAATCTCCATATTAGAGTGCAATCATGTTCGATCTGGCCAAAACCCAGGAAGATCGAACACGATTGCACTCTAATATGGAGATTTTTATATGCATGTATGTTCTTATGTGCTGCCTATTCCTGGAAACCCCAGGCTGCTAATAATTTAAACAAAAAATATCACAAGAAATCCACATACATATAAAAACCTGCACCTACAAATACTTGCAACAGGTATTTGCAAGAGACCTAGAAGTCAACATTAACAAGCTAAACATCAGCCAGTGGTATCAGCCAGTTCAAAGGAGTAACATAATTCTGGCCTACGTTAGAAGCAGCACTATATTAAACAGAGGTAGGGAACGATGGCCCCTTTATGACTTGTGAACTTCAACTCCCAGAATTATCTGAGCCAGCGTGGGAGTTGAAGCCCACAAGTCATAAAAGGCCATCGGTCCGACCTCTTGGTATTAAAGAGGCATGAAGTCCATAATCCCCTTTGCTCAACACTGTTGAGACCACCCCTTGATTATGATGCATGATCCTGAGCAGCCCATTCAAGAACAAAAGTTGACAAGTTAAAATAGATAAAGATACAAAAATGATACAGGAACCTTAGGATATGGCTTAAAGCATTATTACATCTTTCACTAAAATAGCCATTTTCTACCTTATCCTTTGCAGGTAAGCTTCACTTTAAGGCTTACAGACTGCCAAACACAGAAGGAACACATTGAACAAAGATATTTTAGGTTCTCTTATGAAATGAGAAAGGCTGACCCTATTCCTAACCAAGCCATTGCATTCTTGAAATTCTGCCCAAATATTTTGGCTCAACTGTGGTTTGACAATAACAAAACACATAATGTTTTGTGAGTTCTAGGTTACAGCGGAAACAAAAACCAGAGAGATCTCAGAGTGATCCTGAGGGGCAAGCAGTCAAAGCTGGTGAACCCCCCTCCCCCAAACCTCTTCATGGCTGTGCCAGCCAACTTTCTGGCTGATATTCCCAGACAGAAACACAGCCTTATCTTTACCAGCCTCTGAGATGATCAACTTACTTGAGTATTTCTGGAGCACAATCCCTCTTTTGACTTCTCCTCAGCTCCATGATCCTGGTCTTCCTCCTCTTCTGTAAGGCTGTCACTTCCAGAATCTTCCAGTCCAGAATAGACACTTTCCTCGCTGTCTGTCGGAAGATCTCCTTCTTCTTCTTCAGACATCCTGGTCCTGAGAATGGGCTGTAGAAGGGAAAGCACGAGATTCAAAGCACTGTGACGTTAATAATAGATCTCTCCCACCCTTGGACTGGGCAGAATTTCTCTCCCCAAAGGTCAGGTCGGGATCGCCATCCTGTCAGCACTTGCCAGGTATCAGACTTACAGAATAACAGAGTTGGAAGGGACCTTGGAGGTCTTCTAGTCCAACCCTCTGTTCAGGCAGGCGACCCTATACCAGGGTTGTCCAACTTTGGGAATTTTATGACTTGTGGACTTTCATTCCTAGAATTCCCATAGCTATGCTGGTTGAGAAATTCTGAGAATTGAAGTCTGTCAGCCTTAAAAGTTCCCAAGGTTGGACACCCCTTCCCTATACCATATAACAAATGGTTGTCCAGTCTTTTGTTGAAAACCTCCAATGGAGCACCCAAAAGTTGTGGAGGCAACCCATTCCCCTGATTGTTTTGTCAGGAAATTTCTTCTTTCACCCCAAATTGGTATCTTTCGATGCATAAAATCAAATTCAGTGTTGCAATTTACTATATGCAATTCCTAATAGCTTCTAAGGCCAGGCCATTGATCCTCCTGGTTCCTAGGAAGAATCAAGGAGAGAAGCAACCTGGAACTAAGGAGGAATTTCCTGACAGTGAGAAACAATTAACCAGTGGAATTAACCAGGGGAACTGCTTGCCTCCAGAAGCTGTGGGTGCTCCATCACTGGAGTTTTTAAGAAGAGACTGGACAGCCATTTATCTGGGATGGTCTAGGTCAGAGGTAGGCAACCTTGGCTCTTTTACGACTTGTGGACTTCAATTCCCAGAATTCCCGAGCCAGCATGAGGGAAACTTTGGCCCCTTCATGACTGGTGGACTTCAACTCCCAGAATTCCTGAGCCAGCCTGGCTCAGCTTGGAAACCTCTCCCTTTCCTTTCAGCATGGCTGGCTCAGGAATTCTGGGAGTTGAAGTCCCTAAGTCATAAAAGAGCCAGGTTTGAAGACCCCTGGTCTAGGGTCTCCTGCTTGAGCAGGGGGTTGGACTAGAAGACCTCCAAGGTCCCTCCCAGGTCTGCAATTCTATAATCCCAGATCAATTAACCAGTGGAAGGGAAGCTGCCTTCAGTAGTTGTGGGTGCCTCCATCACCTGGAGAGCCTGTCCTGTCTGGGATGCTCGGGTCTCCTGGCTGAGCAGGGGGCTGGACTAGAAGACCTCCGAGGGCCCTTCCAGCTCGGTTGCTCTGTCATAAGCCGGGCCCGCTGCCTTCCCTCTGGCCTTGGGAAGCCCCTCCCGCCACAGCGTCAGTTCGGAGGCCCCCAACCCCAACCCCTGAGGTAATTTCGTTCGCCCTCCTCTGGGGCCTCCGTCCACGCCTGGCCGAAACCCTCCGGCCCTCGGAACCGCCGCTGACTTAAGGCCTCGCCAACCCTCAGGAGGTCGCGGGAGAAACGGCGCCGCGCTTCACCCCGACCCCCCCCTCTCCGCCTTCGTGGGAGACCCTCGAGACCCGCCAGCCGGACCGGACAAGGCCGCGCGGCCTTCGCCCTCCCCGCCGGGCCGCCTGTTCCCCGCTTCCCGCGCTCACCCGGCCGCCTCCGCCGCCCTCAGCGCTCCTCCGTCGGCACCGCGTGCGCTCACCTCAGCGGACGCCGGCCACGACGCATGCGCCGAAAGCCTCTTGCCCGCCTTCGCCGCACGGCGCCTGCGCGCTAGGTCCGCAAAGCCCTTAGCTCCGCCCTGAGCCGCTTCTCGTTGGCGAGCCGGCTGCCGCGGCGCATGCGCCCTGGAACCGGGAAGCGCCTGGCGCTCCCCAGCCCCGCCCCTCGGCCGCTCGTCCAAGTAAAGCAACCGGCGGGTGGGGCGAAAGCCCGGAAGAGCCGGGCGATCCCAAACGAGTGCGCGGGGGGGGGGGACAAAGAAGGCCGCCTTTGACTCGCGTCGAGACAGATCACTTTAAACAGTAGGCACAAGGGGAAACTCCCCCCTCCCCCAATGCAGCGGTTGAGTCCCTGATTTGGACTGCTGGCTGGGGAATGCTGGGAGTTGAGGCTGCCTAAATGATAGTCATTTGTGCAACGTGGGATGGCGAATACAGCCATTGGAGGAGTGGAGATTGGGATGGCAAAAAGTAATTACTTCGGAAATGATCGCTAAAGCTTGTGAAACTTTGCAACGGCGCACCGCAGGGACGACGGAGTGCCGAAGAATCGATGCTTTCGAATTGTGGTGCCGGAGGAGACTCCTGAGAGTCCCTGGGGCTGCAAGGAGATCCAGTCAGTCAGTCCTCAAGGAAATCAACCCTGGCTGTCCTTTGGGAGGACAGATGCTGAAGCTGAAATTCTTTGGCCACCTAATGAGAAGAGAGAACTCCTCGGAGAAGACCCCGACGATGGGAGAGACGGCAGAGGAGGAGATAGTGTCATCGACGTAACGAACGTGAATTTGGGCCAACCCCGGGAAACAGTGGAGGACCGTGGGCTCACGTGCTAGGCTCCATGGGGGGCGCAAAGACGTGGACACGACTTAACAACAACGGACTTAACAACCTGTTACCGGCGTGCATGAGCAACGGGGGAAGGAAGCTCGGGACGAGGATGGTCCATGTAAATCGGATAAGGTTCCCCCAAGTGCTGACATCTCGCCCAGTTTTCCTGCCACTTGCAGCGCGAGCACGGGACGCTGCCTCGCTCTCTCTTCGTACAGCCGAAAGCAAAAGGAGCGCCTCCAACTCGGGACCATCGGGAGGGTTGCAACTACCCTGCCGGCACCGGCAGCGTCCCGGGAAGGGCCCTCCCTCCCTGAGACTCGGGAAGCGGGAGGCGCCCGGAGACCTCCCTGCGGCCAGCTCCGTGGACAGCGCAAACAGGTGCGAGGTCCGCGCCTGCGCGCATCTGCGCCCGCTAACAGGTGGGGCGCATGCGCGCTACAACAGCAACGCCACCCCCCGCAGCGCGAGGCACAACAGTGTCTAGACGGCACGCCGCGTGCGTGCGTGCGAGCGTGCGGCGTTGCGCCTGCGCGTCGCAAGATGGCGGCGGCCATGCCCGTTCCTTCTGAGGGAGCGAGTGCGCAGCGCGGCGTCGGGCTTTGCCGAGGCCGGAGCAGCCGCGGCCGCTAGTTGTTTCCGCGCCGTCCGCTCCCGCGGCAGCAGCGGGGACCGTCGCAGGGCCTGTCCGCCCCAGGGAAGCGGGCCCGGGCTGGGCCGCCCGCCCGCCGCTCGCATGGAGCCCCCCGGCGCCGTGGCAGGAGGCGGAGCGGGCAGCAACGTGCCTGCCTTCCTCACCAAGCTGTGGACGCTGGTGGAGGACCCGGACACGGACGCGCTCATCTGCTGGAGCCCGGTGAGGAAGGCTCCCCCGCGGGAAGCAGGCCGCGCCGGGGCAGAAGCGGGGCTCCGGGTGGGGGGCCTTCCGCCGCCTGGACGGGCTTCGCGGGGTCCCCTCCGGCCTGGCCGAGGCTGCCGGGTTCGGGGAAGAGGAGGCGGCGGGGAAGCGGCCGGGAAAGCGGGACGGAGCAGGAGAGGCCGCTCGGGGCCCTCAGGGCGAGGCTCCCTGGCAGGGCCGGTGACGGAGCCCGGAGGAGCCGCCGCTTTGGAGCCGGGCCTCTCGATTTCGGGCGGGTTTAAGGTGGACGGACTCCAACTCCCAGCAAGCAGTCTGCCTCTGGGGGATTCTGGGAGATGCAGTCCGCCCGACTAGGGTGGGGGGAAGACTCGGCTCTGCTGCTTTCGAGCAGGGCTCTCCAAACTGGGCAACGCTAAGACTTGGGGACTTCAGCTCCCAGAAGTCCAAAGCTGGCTGGGGGATTCTGGGAGTTGAAGTCCCCAAGTCTTAAATGTTGCCAAGTTTGGAGAGCCCGGTTCAGTAAAAGCAGAAAGGGACCTCTCTATTTCCCCTCTTGCGCTCGGGTGAAGCAGCAAATGGTGTGTTTTATGAGCCTCTTTTTAACTAATTCTCTTGAGTTTTGTGTTTATGTGTCTTTCTTTACTCTGGTTCCTACCAAAGAGTGTTTTTTAGACTGTTTTCAAGTATAGAGAAAGGACCATTTGGTGTTTTTTTTCCCTTTATACTTTTTATCCTAAGACCTAACGAGACTCCGGCATCAGCAATCTGCCGCTATTTTCTATTTCTCCTCCACATTTATAGGGTTTATAGGAGAACCATTCTGACTTAAAATGTTGACCCTATGGGCTTTTTAAAGTTTTTATTCTCAAAATAGTATTTGCTGCTGATACCTGGCATCCTTTGAAAAGTTACTTTACTATTCAGCCCTCCTGTATAGTTGGAGATTGTGGTTTAGGTTCTGGTCCTTCCTGTTGCACCATGTTCAGAATGAAGGTGTTATGGGACAATTGTTCAGCATTTTGATCACTGAGCTATGGTGTCCCAGGGAGTTCCATCGTACAACCTCTACAAGAAGCTGTTAGTAGGGACCACTGGAATATCTGTCATCCATATAGCTCAACAGGAGCTCAAGCAATCTGTACTTCTGGAAGATTGCTTATCTGTGTCAGTCTTTGGACGAGTGGGTGAGAGAAAACAATTTGAAATTAAGGCCAGATGGAAATGCTATTGGAAAAATAAAAAAAAACTGAGATGGGTGAAGTTGCAGTTTATCTTAAGGAGCAAGTTTTCAGTCTGGGAGAACTCTTGATGCTTAACTAGGTTTGTACTTAGCAATTAGGTAAGCATAGGGAAAGGGCCAATATTCCAATATTTGAGCAGCTTCTACAAAGACGAGAGGGTCAAACTATTTTCCAAAACACTGAAAGGCAAGACAATAAACAATGGATAAAAACTAATCAAGGAGAGAACCAACCTAGAACTAAGGAGGAATGCCCCTAAAAATTAGTGTCTTAAACTGAGTTGCTTATATAGTAATTGCTCCCTAAGTGAGTCCCACATGTTCAGAGGACTTTTATTTTTGTAAATGTATCTCTAAACAGATGGTTGTTTAGCTTCTGCTATAAAATATCTCAATGGGAAGCTATCACTTTGCAATGCAATCAGTGCTGCTAAATCAACATTTGAAAAAAAAATACAACTTTGAAGAATAATAGCTGCCCAGGACCGATGGGATGGATTCATTGCTCCCAGGGAGAGAGATGACTGAATCGGGAATAAGCCTCTTGAGTATAATGGAACTTATTATCAGGAAAGTATGTTCCAGATTGTAATTCAAGGATTGTGATTATACTGCATCCCGTAAGAGACAACAGCAGAGTTGTCAAAATGTCCTAATAAAACACTATAGTTAACCGTGGTGCTCTGTTATTACTAGTGGCCAATGTGCATACAGGTGGTCCTCATCTTACAACCATTTGTTTAGTGACCGAAGTTACATTGCGCTGAAAAAAGTGACTTGAAACCGGTTTGCCCAGCCATTGCAGCATCCCCATGGTCACGTGATCAAAATTTGGCTTCTTTCCAACTGGCATGCATTTATCACCGTTGCCCTGTCCAGGATCATGTGTTCAGCATTTGTAACCTTCCCAGCTGGTTTCTGACAAGCAAAGCCAATGGGGAAAGCCAGATCTGCTTAACAACCGCTTGACTCACTTAACAACTCAAAATACTTGTGTGCCCTCTCCGTGTTTTTTGAAGTTTCATGCCGGGTAATTGTGTAGTAGTTCTGATTCTTGGAAGAACATTTTTTTTATATATGGAGCATCATGTAGATTTTTCTTTCAACTGCTTACGCCAGGGTCTTCAAACTTGGCCCTTTGATGACTTGTGGACTTCAACTCCAAGAATTCCTAAGAAGGCCATTTTGATGAAACTGCAAGTTGGATCCAGACCAGGGGTCTTCAAACTTTGCCCTTTTAAGTCATAAAAGGGCAAAGTTTGAAGACCCCTGGCCTAAGAAGAGAAATACTTTCGCCTTATGAAAAAATGCCCTGGAGCCAAGCTCTTTAAAAGGCCCACCAAAAAGGTGCTAACACAGTGGTTCTCAACCTGTGGGTCGGGACCCCATTTGGGGTCGATCGACCATTTCACGGGGGTCGCCAAGCAAGGCTGTCCGCCATTTTTTTGTCCGCCATTTTTTTCCCTTTTTCCGGCAGGTGCCTTCCCTCCCTTGGGCTGGGCCACCTGGTGGTCGGCCTGCTCTGTCTCTGCCGCTTGCCAACTACGCCTCGGCCGGCGCAGGGGGCGGAACCACGCATGCGCGGCGCTCCCGGGCAGGGAAAGTCCTTGACTTACGACCAATTGGGTAGTCCTCGACTTACGACCGGTTTAGTCCTCGACTTACGACCGGTTTAGTCCTCGACTTACAACCGGTTTAGTCCTCGCCTTACGACCGGTTTAGTCCTCGACTTACGACCGGTTGGGGTCGCGGCATTAAAAAGGTTGAGAACCACTGTGCTAACAAGACAGCCTTTCCAGGAAAGTTGATCTCCGATGGGCTGTGTGTCAGACCAGGTGGGCCACTGGAGGGATGGATGTCCAATCTCTTCTTTAAAACCTCCACGCACAACTTCCAAGGCAAACCCTTCCGTGATATTCCTGTGGCCTTCCTGATAGATTGCTGAAAACGCCTCTGAGGACCTGGCCTGCCACTGAGGCTTCAATGGCCTGTCCTGACTCGGTCCTGTAACTCGGCAACAGATATATCCTAAACATGGGCAGCTGACCTCTGACTGACTCATCTGAACTTTATTGGGTTTGACAGTAATCAAGGTTGGGTTGTAGAGGACGGGAAAGCTCGTGGAGCTACAACTCAGAATGGGCTGAGGCTAGCAAAGCGTACTAACAAAAGGGTGCTTTTGTTTAGATAGGCTAAAAAATAAAGGGAATCAAAGCAGCAGGCCAGTTGCTCCCCGAAGGAGGCAAAATACTAACAGGTACCCAAAAGCAGATGTCCTCTTTATGCTTCCCATGTATTTGTTTTATCAGGAAATAGCTCTTTAAATGAATTTAAATTCCCCCAAACCTAGTGAATTGCATCCTAGCATTCTTGAGGAACCAGGTGGCGATTGGTTGAAGCCTTGTGTGTTGTATTTGAGATAACTCAGACAATTAAGGAAGTGCCTGATGAGCGGAGATCTTTTTGTCTTCAGAAAGAAGGAAAGATCCAGCAGAGTAGAGACAGTGGCACCTGAGAAGCCTGAAACATGGGGGATGATGTAATGGACCTATTTTTACCCTGCTTACACAAAATAGAGATGTGTGGCAATGTGGTGATTAGGCCTATGATAGCCTTATCAGTACCAGCCTTGCATAAGAATAGTATTCTCGTGTGAGTTGGAGACCTCTATCTTATAAGAACGCTCTGGCTCTGCAGTCAGTTGGAAAAGGCCAGGGAAGGCGATTGTGAGATTACCCACAAGCTGTCAACAGTTGCACTGAAAGCAGGGTTTGACAGCATGTTGCTGGAGGGCTGCCTTCCAGATCCAGGCAAGTCTGAATGGTGCAGGACAGAGGGTGGCAGGATGCCAGGATCAGTGAGTAGTTTGGGGAGTCCAAGGTGCGCCTCCCTTTCTCTGAACCGGCAGGCTGGGGTTCGTGCCAAGGTGGCACGGCCCAGGTCTTCCTCCCTGGTGCGTTTGTTCTCCAACCATGTGGAATTGTCTCATTGGGAAGATGACTCAACGGCGGTTTTTCTTCCTGCCATGAAAGAAAATCCAGTTGTACAACGGCCTCTTATGTTCTTCTGCCAGATTGAAAAACATTTCCTTTTCTTCTGTAGACATCATTATAGTTTGGCCATAAAATTCCTGCTCTATGAGCTGTCGAAATAATGTCATTTTGCTTAACAAAACATATGCCTTTTTAGAAGGAAAAAAAAACAACCAGAGCAGACCCTTCACTGATTGCTGCTACCAGCCGCTACATGCCGGAAGCCGGGCCGAGGTGGCTGGATGGCCAGAAGGCTGTGGCTTCACGCGTGGCCTGGGGGTGGCCGGAGGGCCCCCCAACACAGGGATGGGTTCCAGAGAGGGTTTGGGAAAGGGCCGTCCTTTCGGATTTTGCCCGGTTGCCAGTCCTGGACCAGTGGAGCCCCTGGAATTGCAGAGAAGACCCAAGCTGGACTTTCAAACTGAGGACCCCAGTTGAGCCCGACATTTTCTGTTGCTAAAGCGAAACATTTGTTAAGTGAGTTTTGCCCTGTTTTGCGACCTTTCTTGTCACGGTTGTTAAGTGAATTCCTGTAACACGGTTGCTAGGTGAACCCGGCCTCTCAGTTAACTTTGCTTGTCAGATGGTTGCCAAAGGGGATCACGTGACCCCGGGATGCTGCGACCGTCGTAAATATGAATTCAGTTGGCAGGCCTTGGGATCTTGATCAGGTGACCCTGGGGAGGCTGCTGCTGCGATGGTCCCAGGTGTGAAAACCGGACATTGGTCACTTTTTTCACTGGCGTAACTAAGCAAACAGTTGTAAGTTGAGGACTACCTGCGTACGAGTTCTAATTTAGCTTAAATGATTTTGATTTTATTTATTTCATCCTATTTATATAGGGTTGAATGAACTAATTGGTTGTGGCCTTCACATGTTGCCTTATATACCAGAGCCCAATTAGTCGATCCAATAACTTATGGCTAGTTCAACAAACCAAGATTAAAGCAAAGGTGGTTAGTCTGTCATGTAGAACCAGCTGAGTAAATAAAGCTGCAGCTTTATTTCCCTGGTGAATCCTTTCAGGCCTACATCAGATGAAGAGACGGACACCAGGCAGACCCCCTAAAGCTACTTCTAGCGCAAAAGTTGTAGTAACAGCATCTTGCTTGTCTGAGTTGCTACCTTTTCTCCCTCGTCACATGTTTTTGCAAATTTCTTTCTTGACCTGGGTTCAGGTTTTGTTTATCTCGATTGTTGCCTTGATATTGGATCTTCTTCTGTACTTCAAAACCCTCTCCTTTATTCACTCTGTGCCACCTGCAATTGGCACCACGCTGATTCTTGTGTCCTTGCTTGCCTTTCTCTCTCGTGGGGATGGGTCAAAGAGAGGGAAAAATTCAGAAACGGTGTCTTTGTGTTGCTCGGCCTCAGCGCTGTGAGTAGAGATCCCTGGCCTCCCCTTGGCTGCTAAAGCTTTGGCCCTGGACCAGACGTGGCCCCCAAGTCGGTGACGGTTGAAATGTGTCAGTTCTTCTCGTGGAACCTGTTGAATTGGGTGGAGATCTCTGTGCCACTGACTGTCTCTTACAAAATTTGCAGTGTGGGGGGGGGAGTGCCAAAAGTGGGTAAATGGCCATTTTTTTTAAAAAAAAGAGAGAGAAAATAATACACTCGGGAAATTACAGAACGAAGAATTTGGCTTAGGAAAAAATCATAAGCAGTTGGTTTGCAAGCACTTAGAAAAGGAACAAGGTGATCACTAGAAGCCAGGATGAGTTTGCCAGACAAATCTTACTGTTTTTTTTTTTAAAAAAACTAAATTATTAGATTAGTAGACTCAGGGATGTAGTGCACTTAGACTTCAGTACAGCATTTGATAATATTGACAATCTTGATCACGGATTCCCTATCAGTAAAATGGAGCAATATGGAATGAATAGTCTCACGACCAGATGGATTTGCAGTTGGTTGAACAATATATCTAATGTGAGTTCCTTAATGGATTTATGTCTGCAGGGAGGGAGGTATGTAGTGTGTGTGTGTGTGTGTTTCCTCCAGGTTCTGCCTTAGGCTGAGAGCTCTTCATAGGGATAGACGATGGACGGAAGGGATGGAGGCTCATCAGATTAGCAAATGAAGCCAAGGTGGTGGAGAAGGAAATACTAGCTAGCAACTCAAGACAGACCTGAGTTTCAAAAGAATCTTAATAAGCTTCAGGATTAGGCTCTAGCCACCAGCATGCTGATATTTTTTACAATAGTTTTATTCAAGTATACAAATACAGAGATTAAAAAAGATCATAAAGCCAGGCGCAGCTCACTTCACATGCGGGGCCTGGTTGCCTGGACCTGCCTCCTCCTGCCCGTAGCTGCATCTTTCTGAGCTGAAAAGGCTGCCCTGTAAGGCAGTCCTCGAGTTATAACCGTTCATTTAGCGACCGTTGAAAGTTACAATGGCACCGAAAAAAGGGACTTATGACCGTGTTTCACACTTGGCGGCCGTTGCAGCATCCCCACGGTCATGTGATTGAGATTCGGACGCTTGGCAACTGACTCACATTTATGACAGTCGTAGTGTCCCGGGGGGTGTCACGTGATAACCTTTTGCGATTTTCTGACCAGCAAAGTCAACGGGGGAAGCAGGATTCACTTAACGGCCGTGTGACTAACCCATCAACTGCCGTGATTCACTTAACAACCGGGGCAAGACAAGTTGTGGTACAGGACAAAACACAACTGTCTCACTTAATGACAGAAACACTGGGCTCAGTTGTCGTAAGTTGAGGACTACCGGTGTGCATCTAAGCTTTTCTGTTTCACGCCCCCCCCCCCGGCCCTGCTCCGGCCAGCCGACGGACTCATCCCTTTCTCTGTCGTTGCAGAGTGGGAACAGCTTCCATGTTTTCGACCAAGGCCAGTTTGCCAAGGAGGTCCTCCCCAAATATTTCAAACACAACAACATGGCCAGCTTTGTGCGGCAGCTGAACATGTGTGAGTATGCTCACCGCCCGGGGAAGGTCTTCCAGGGACCCCCGAGATGCCTCTTTCGGGGCTGCTTGCGGCGCTTGCAGGCGGTGGAAGGAGCCAGGCGGGCGGGTTCCGGTCGTGCCCAGAGGAGACGGCGCTCTGCCCCGGTAGCCTGCGCTGCCCTGGGGAGGCTTCTTGGGCTTTCCTTCGAGTTTAGTCAAGGCCGGGACCATGGTGCACAGCAGTGGCATCTTCTGATGTGGGGTGCCGGGACCATGGTGCACAGCAGTGGCATCTTCTGATGTGGGGTGCATCAGGGAAGAGGACGTTGGTCTTCCTGCTCTTCACAAAATGCCCTTGAAGCATGAAATGGGAAATAAACATTCAAGGGGTTTATCATTTAAAGCAGGGCTCTTCAAACTTGGCCCTTTGATGACTTGTGGACTTCAACTCCCAGAATTCCACAAGTCATCAAAGGGCCAAGTTTGAAGACCCCTGGTGGCCCAGTGGTCAGACGGCAGCATTGCAGGCTGACTCTGCCCACTGCCAGCAGTTCAATCCCGACCAGCACGAGGTTGATTCAGCCTTCCGTCCTCCCAAGGCCGGTAAAATGAGGAGCCAGACTGTTGGGGGGCAATATATGCTGACTCTGTGACCTGCTTAGAGAGGGCTGTAAAGCACGGTGGAGCAGGATATGAGTCTAAGGGCTGTTGCTATGGCTATCGTTTCAGTTTGGGGGTACGTTTTTTAAAAAAAATCCCTACCCTCCGTTTCTCCGTAACAGGACCAAGCATCATTTTGGGGCAACGGACCCCAAATGTCCTGGGTTCCTAACATAACATTTACTATTTTTTTGTATTTAAGATTAAAAACAGCGAGAATTTGGGACGTCCATGGGCCTCCCTGCCAGACAATGCCTGCAGCATAGAAGCAGTGATCCGATTGCCCGTAACAATTGCAGCCCTCTAACCGCTCTGCCGTTCTTTAGGGAAGGAGAAAGCCTGCCTAATTTTAGAATACAACCCCCCCCCCCCCAAATTTGCTGCTTGCTTGGCACGCAGCTTTTGTAATGGCACCTGCCTCGGGGCCTCTTCTGAAAGGGACGGCAGAGAAGCCCCGTCCCTAAAAATAGCCGCCCCAGGCGGGTGAGTCCCGTTGAGTTGAGCCCGGATGACTAGCGTTTTGTTCTCTGGTGCTGGGTGTGTGTTCACAAACAGCGACGTTGGCATTTGCCTGGCAGCGTGCCCTTGGCAGAAGAAAGGGCTGAAGGCCTGTGCTGATGGCCCCGCAGACTCCCCCCCTCTCCCTCAAGGGCAGGGGTCCTCTTCATCTCAGCTTTTCGAAGAGGAAGGGTCTTTCTGGAGCTGAACCGATCCCAAAGGTGAAGGCTACAGCTAAGAGCTATTATCCCAAAGGTGCTTTTTCCCCACAGGCAACCAGACTTTTTTTTTTCTTTGAAAACATTTCACTTCTCCTCCCAGAAGCTTCTTCGGTTCTTGGCTGAGAAGTGAAACGTTTTCAAGGGGGAAAAAACCCCCAACAAAGTCCAGCTGCCTTTTGGAAAAAAGCACCTTTGGAACAGCCGTGGCCCGGGTGGTGGAGAATCTCCACAGACTAAGAGCACCATCAAGCAGCAACGGCAAAGGGATCGCCTGTAGGTCCCGCTTCAAATCGGGCCCACCTGATGCTTCCGGGAGGCTGGTCTGGTTGAGGAATCCTACTCCGGTCTGCAACCCTTTTCATGCTTCTCCAAAAGGCCCCCTTTCTATCTAAGGGGAGAAATTGTTTTCTTTTAGTTACCCGCTGGCTCATAAAAACCACAGCGTATTAAATACCTGCGCGTCTTGGAAGCAGAAGCATCCCACGATGGTGCTCATCGGGGGTCTCCAGCCTTGCCAGCTTTACGACTTGTGGACCTCAGCCCTTAGAATTCTGGGAGTTGAAGTCCACAAGTTGTACAGTTTGCCAAGGTTGGAGACGCCTGCGGTCCGTGACCGGTGGGTCAGCTTCTCCAGTCTCCTCTGGTCTGGCTGCCAACAAGCTTTGCCTCTTGTGTTTCAGACGGTTTCCGAAAGGTGATCCACATCGAGCAGGGCGGGCTGGTCAAGCCCGAGAAGGATGACACTGAATTCCAGCACCCCTACTTCCTCCGTGGCCAGGAGCATCTCCTGGAGAACATCAAGAGGAAAGTCACCAACGTAAGTCGGCCGTGACAGCAGCTGGCTGAGGTTCCGAGGAGCCTTCCCTCCCTGGGAGGGGAGGAAACCTCTGGTGCCCGGGTGCTTGAAAGGCCGCGAAGGGGGCTTCCAATCTGTCCTTTTTCCTGGGATGCTGATGGAAAGGGGGCTTCCTCCACTATCTGCTTCATTTGATGCTGAGGAGGCAGATGGGCGGAGAAGGATGCGGACGCCTCAAGGATCTGCTCCTGTCCTGGTTCTTCTGCTGGCAGAGAGAGCTGCTGGCCGAGGATGGCAGTGGGTTGAATCTAACCTCTGGGGCTGCTAAAGACATTCCTAGGATGTGCCCCCAATTCCTTCTTTGAGTTTAAAATTGCTCTTCTCAGGACAGTTTCTCAGAAGTATTCATTGAAAGAAGAGGAGGATGCAAACAATTAGGCTGCTTTTTGTCTTAATTAAGAAGATGAAGAGCTACACTGAGCTCTTACCGACTCCCCCCAACACCCTGTGTTAAGAACCTTGTGTTTCTGAGATTTAGCCCTATTATACATAAGCTTTATTCCAAAGGTGCTTTTTCCCCCAAAAAGCAACTCAACTTTCTTTACCAAGAAAGTCCAGCTGCCATTTAAAAACTAATAATTAAAAAAAAAACAACCCGTGGGACAACTATTACCTGGATCAGGGGTCCCTAAACTTGGCAACTTTTAAGACTTCAACTCAACATGGCTGAGCTGGGGAATCCTGGGAACTGAAGTCCACGAGCCTTAAAGTTGCCAGGTTGGGAAGGAAGGAAGGAAGGAAAGGAAAGGAAAGGAAAGGAAAGGAAAGGAAAGGAAAGGAAAGGAAAGGAAAGGAAAGGAAAGGAAAGGAGTCGTGGTGCACAGGAGATCAATCTTGATGAGGTTCAGGGTTGAGGTCCTTCTGAGGTCGGTAAAATGAGGACCCAGGTTGTTGCGGTCAGTATGCAGACTCTGTAAACTGCCTAGAGAGAGAGGGCTGTAAAAGGTCCTGTGAAGTGGCATATAAGTCTGAGTGCCCTTATTGCTAAACGCTATTGCAGATAGGGGAAGCCAGGTTCATTTAACAACCGTGATTCTAACTTAACAGCTGCAGTGATTCGCTTAACAACTGTGGCAAGACGGGTCATAAACTGGGGCAAAACTCACTTGGAAGTGTCTCGTTTAGCAACGGAAAGTTGGGGCTGGCTCAGTTACGGTCGTAAGCCGAGGAGTCCCTGTAGTCCTTTGGAGCTCTGTCCTGGTTCCTGACTTCTTGCGCCTGAGGCCCGCCAGCCCTTTCCCTCCTCCGCAAGCGGTGGGCTCCGCTGAGCGGCCCCTCCCTCCCTCCCTCCTTCCAGGTGTCCGGCATAAAGAACGAGGACATCAAGGTTCGCCAGGACAGCATGACCCAGTTGCTGACCGATGTCCAGCTGATGAAGGGCAAGCAAGAGAGCATGGACTCCAAGCTGATCTCCATGAAGCAGTACGTAGGTGCCCGGGGAGGGGAGGGGAGGGCGTGGGAAGGGGGCGCACGCTCTGGATCTGGGAAGTCTCCCTTCCTCTGTGTTCTAGCGCCCCCTCCTGGCAAGTGCCAGCAGAGCCTCCGGCACCCAAGGAGCTGAAATACTCCTGAAAACTCCGTTGGCCGTCTCCTGGTCTCCTGGCTTTCTGTGGTTTTGTTTTTCTCTCTGACCGAGTCTCGTAACGCTCTTCTTGCCATCCTTGTTTCCGTGACACAAGAGGACGCTTGAGGAGAAATCAGGTGCAGGAATGTATACGTTCCTAAAACTTGCATTCTTGTAACTTTTAACTGGAACAAAAACGGGATGAGTGAATGGGATGAACTAATTGTGGTGAGGCTGGAAGCAAACAGACCCAGGCCCACGGCTCCTGTGCTGCTGTTTCTCCTGCCCAAAAGTGTGAGAGTCCCTGCCTGTTCTTGTGTACTGGAAGGAACAAAAATTAAACTTTTATTGTAAATAGGGCTTGTGTAAACTCACCCACCTCTAACTCTGCAGCTGGCCCTGATTCATAAATTTGTACACACAGCCACTGCCCCCCCCTCTCCTCCCCCTCCCCACCCCAATATAGAATTATAGAATTTATTCTCATTAAACCTGCTATAAAACCTTACCAGCAGCATGCTATGTACACACATGCACGCACACACGCACACACACACATACAGAAGAGAGAGAAACCAAGATGTCCATAGACAGCACAGCTTGATCGTGTTACCTGAATTCAGAACCCGGATTCAGAATTCAATTTTACGCTTCCATTGAACAACCATGCAGATCTACAATCAGAGGAACCTGACCCATGAATAACAATGAATAATAATAACCACACAGTTCAGTGGGAATGAATGCCCCCACACACATACACACACTTTCCTGAGAGGACTGTGGTCTCCCCCTGCTTCCCTTCAGAGAGGCTGACTCTTTTTGAAGTCCAGCACTTTTAAAATCATAAGTGAACCCCCCCCCTCCCCAACTCAGCATCCTCAGTTGCCTTGCAAAAGTCCCAGGGACCGTTTCCGCCCTCCTCTTCTTCTTGGCTGCTGCTGCACATCCTCCATCCTAGCCCCAATCCAGATCGGCTACTCGGATCGGATCTTCCAGGCACAGGTCTTCTCCCCAGCAGTCACAGTTGGGTGCCTTCACTCTCCGGGCCTGGGTCCTCTTCCCAGCTGCCTTGGTCTCCTTCAGGGGTGGAACACTGCCCTCCCCCCCTCCCAACTGCATGCCTTTTCTACCTTTTCCAGGTCCACAGTTTTATTTCTCCTCCTCACCCTTCCAGGAGTGGCCTCCCTCCCTCCCTCCCCTTGGATGAAGCCCAGTTCTGATTTCCTTGCTAACAATTCTCTTGCCTCGGCTGTGACCTCATTATCTTATAACCTCCATATTTGCCTTTCCATCTTTGTGGATGACCAGTCCTTGGCACCCACATCCCTGGCACCCACCTTATTTCTTTGCCTCTCGTGGCAGATCCACACCACTTTTCCTCATTTCCTCAACCAGGAAGGAAGTAAAGTAATGCTTTAAGTTCTTGGAGGGGTTTTTTTTCCTCCACGGTAGTCTTCATTAGGTCTGTTCCACCGTAACAAAATAAGCATTTAATGCAATTTGCCCTCAACCACAATTCTGCTTCCCATTTGAACGTGAAAGGATTCGTTCTTTCTCAGAAGGTTTCTGCCCTTTGCCATCAATTCCCCAAGTGACAGCCTTCCTGAGACGTGTCCTCATAAACCAGGGGGTCTTCAAACTTGGCCCTTTGATGACTTGTGGACTTCAACTCCCAGAATTCCTCAGATGGCCATTTTGATGAAACTGCGGGCTTGGATCCAGACCAGGGGTCTTCAAACTTTGCCCTTTGATGACTTGTGGACTTCAACTCCCAGAATTCCTCAGCCAGCCCTGCTGAGGCACTGAAGTCCACGCGTCGTCAAGTTGCCAGGTTTCTGATCTAGAACATGGTGGCTGAATCGCCCTCCTGTGTCGCTCCCTCTTGTCCGGAGAGAATCTTGTTTGCTCGTCCTCTTCCATGTCGCCCTCGGCCACAGATCTAAGGCCTGTGGAGGACAATGTGGGGCTCAGAGGAGGAAGCTCTAGACTTGTGGCATCGCCAGGGCTTTGTACGTGGCGCGGCTTCTTCCAGGGGAGCCCTGGTGACTTTGCAGATTCCTGCCAGGTTGGTCTGTCACTGTCAGGTGTCTGACTAATGAAACACTTCAAAGAACTTTCAGGCATGGTTTAATCTAAAAAAAACCCTTTTATTAGTGTAGAGGGGTGTCAGTACGGCATGGAGGATGCCAAGATCTGAATTTCCCTTCCTTTGCACATAACATTCCAGGCATTTCCCCTCCCCTATTTTGGGGTCATGATTCACATCTTCCAATTAACCTGGAGGGCAAAGATTCACTTCCCTTCCTTTTCCCGGGCTTTCCTTATAATTCTCCTCCCCTTTCTCTGTCATCTGAATTAACTCTAAAAATACCAGAGAGTCCTGCATATTTTGTCAAAGCAAGAATATTCAATATTAGCAGCGTTGACAGTCACCTTCTGAGCAGCCTCTGACTCCCGCCTGGCAGCTGCCGACAATTCCCACCCCCCCACCCCCCGTGCAGCCATTCTGTCACCAGGAAGGTGGTTCATCTTCTCCCGAGGGGGACCTTCCTCCTTCCACGGGGAAGGTGGTTTCTGAGGATGACCACCGCGGAGTTCCTTGAGTCACCATTCCTGTGGCCACCTTTAAGAATCCTGCCCAATTTGGGGTTTTGCCAACCCCTTTGCTGAGTTGCTTGAAGTTACTTTAGCGCAGTGTTTCTCAACCTTGACAATTTTAAGGCATGTGGACTTCAGCTCCCAGAATTCCACAGCCAGCATTGCTGGCTGTGGAATTCTGGGAGTTGAAGTCCACATGCCTTAAAATTGTCAAGGTTGAGAAACACTGCAGGCTTAGCGGAAAGGTGGCCCTGTGCCCAGTCTCTGGTTTCCCCTAGTTAAAAAAAAGCTGGGAGCCAGATTCTCCAAGTGTGGCTTTTCAGGTGCTCAGGGCCTTAAGGGTTTAGGGAGGTCATAAATTTCCACAAGCCTCCTTCCCCCTTGCCAGGGTTTAGAAAGCAGAGGAAAAACAGGGCAAAGTGCCCAGTCATTTGAGCCACGTGAGGGAGGCGATCCAGTCTCTCTTACAGCGCCCACCTGTGTTTCCTCTCTGCTGGTCAAAGGAAACCAAAATCAGCCACAGTTTCCTCTTTAAAATCTCATTTTCCCTGGTGCTGGAATGTGAATCGGGCAGCATAAAGGCCCTGCATCTCCGTAGCCAGGTGGTTGATCTACATCAGGGGTAGTCAACCTTGGCTCTTTTATGACTCGTGGACTTCAATTCCCAGAATTCCTGAGCCAGCTTAGCTAAGGTAACCTCAAGCAACTCAGCAAAGGGGTTGGCAAAACTCCAAATTGGGCAGGATTCTTAAAGGTGGCCACAGGAATGGTGACTCAAGGAACTCCGCGGTGGTCATCCTCAGAAACCACCTTCCCCGTGGAAGGAAGAAGGTCCCCCTTGGGAGAAGATGAACCACCTTCCTGGTGACAGAACGGCTGCACGGGGGGAATTGCCGGCAGTTGCCAGGCGGGAGTCAGAGGCTGCTCAGAAGGTGACTATCAACGCTACATGGTGGGCGAGGCGCTTGTGCCCAGGAAGGCTCCCTCGGCCTTCATGCAGTTTCTCCGCCAGTGACAGACAATTGTTCGTCGGAAGGGGCCCCGTCTAAGCTTCCTGGTTCTGCTGGAAGTGTCGGGTATGAATTACAAGGTCCTTTAACAGGCGTGGAAGAGAGCCGAAAGCCCCGGCCTGGGTCCACCTCAAGCACAAAGCTGCCTTTGCAGGTCCCACCAAGGTGTGTGGCTGGCACCTGGCTGCGGAGGCTGTGCTGCCTCAGGTGAATCCAGAACTGTCATGGCTGTGCTGGCTCTTGGCGGCCGCTCCTCTCGGAGCCTCCCACGCCGGTCCTGGTACAGTCCTCAAATTATGACCAGTGACTTAGCAACCTGTTCGAAGTTACAACCAACCCAAAAAAGGGGACTGACGACCTGGATTCAGAGACCTGGCAGTTGGGCCGCCCCCTTAGTCCTGCAGTTGAATTTTAGGCTGTCAGCAACACAGCCGCATTTTTACGCCTGTTTGTAGCGACCGAAACACTTCCGGGTTTTGGAAAAAAAACCCACCCCATGGCGAGCCCCTGCTTTGCTTAATGACTGCGGTGGTCGCTTAACAACCACGGATTCCCTTAACAAGTGTAATGATTTGCCTTACGGCTGCTGTAAAAACACCGTAAAATTGGGTGGGTCACATGACTGATGTGTTTTATGTCCGTCACGACATAGGAGTCCTATGTGTGTCAAGGACTGCCTGAGGTGGAGGCGCAGCTCAGCTCCTGGGCTGGCATCCGATCCAAGGCAGCTGCAGCAGGAGAAGCTGAAGATGATGATGGTGATGATGATGATAAAGTTGGAAGGGACCTTGGAGGTCATCTAGTCCAACCCCCCTGCTCAGACAGGAAACCCTAGACCATTTTGGACAAAGGCTGTCCAGTCTCTTCTTAAAAACTTCCAGTGTTGGAGCATTCACAGCTTCTGGAGGCAGGTGGTTCCACTGGTTAATTGTTCTAACTGACGGAAGCAGGTTTGGCCCAGACTCGGGCGCTGCCTCCATCCCGCCCAGCTTCCCTGCAGGACTCTCAGGAGCTGCCAGGGGCTCTGCGCTCCCCGGTTACTCAGCGTCCCTTGGAGCCTTTGGGGCCCTTTCCTCCCTCCTCTGTCCCCTCCCCTCGCTGGCCTCCTCCTACTACTACTACTACTACTCGGGAGATGCTGACTTCTGAGGCCATCAGTCCTGCGTCCTTCAGCTTGTTTGGTGCTTCCTCAACTAGCAAACCAAAGAGGGAAGGCCGGAGGGTCATCCTACCAACTCTTTGGGAAC